GTTCTCAAGGCTCTGCTGCGTAGTTGCAGAGCCCTCTCCATCCTCCTCCTCCTCTGCACAAACATTGTACACTGAGCCACCACTGGAAAATATGAGAGCCAAAAACATTCTTCCCATTAGTAATCTAACAAAGCAGCCTGCTAAACAGATGTCTCTTCAGTGGCCCTTTTAGCTGCAACCTTTGTCGACTCGCCACAATGGACATGAACTGCACAAGTCTACTGCACACCAACTACCACTGAATAATCAATCTTAAGTACTCAACTCCACCCTGGGTGTACAATTATACTGCTGTTTTGTTCCTTATTTGTGCCTCTTTTTTCTTCCTGCATTACTCTTTATACTACTAATCCTACTTCTCTTAATACTCAGAACAATGCAATGACCTGTTTACATTTCTGATGTTACTGTATGTTTAAAGATGACCAACATGAGCAAACCCCTTGCCCAATTCCTTTCAATAATATCCCAACCTCAGAGATTCAGACAGAGGGGTCAGGGTGCCGTCTCCCCTGTCGACCACTCGGAAGAAGTTCAACTGGTCACCCTCACGATAGACCACAAATGTGACCTGCTTGTTGGACAAGCTTTTCTCCCAACCCTCCTCCTTTGTGCTCTCCATCAGGTCAGCGACCTCTTTGACAGGATCCTCCATGGTAACTGACAAAAGAATTAAGCGAGCGTATTTTAATTCCCTAATGTATTAGTCCACATTTTTGCTATAATGTTAGCTACATATGTCCAGCCATTATGTCAATGTACAGTTCCTTTGGTCTTATCCTTACCTCTCCTGGTGTTAATTGGGCCTCCCCTCATAGCTAAGACCAGTTTCAATGTGCAGCCCTCTGCAATGCTGCAAAGACAAACAGATGATGATAGAATGAATACATCTGTCACCCTCCCCCCCCCCAGTGTATATAATTCTAATGGGAGAGGAGGAAATAACAGAAAGCAACATATTTACATTTAAGGGGAAAGGCTTTACATCTGAGGCAGAGGGGAGAGGCTCTGATCTAAAGTAAATAGCACTCCAAGGGTCAGGATGATTTCCAGATGAACTTAAGTGCATGGCTGGGCATTCCATTGGAACATTTGTTTTATGAGCAGATGTTTCATAGCCTCCTCTACGCCTCTACTTATAAAACTTCTAAAGCCTGCTGCAGTGTGATCGGCGAGCATAGCAAGATCTCACCAGAGGCTGTTCATGTGGAAAATTAAGTGACAAGCATTCATAACAATGCAACCATCTGCAGCCAGCAGAGCACTGGAGGGTGAGGTCTGCATCTCAAACTGACAAGAGTGGAAGGGCAAGCTCTTTAATAATGACCAGTATGCCACTTGTCTTATCCAGCTCTACATCTCTGGCACATTTACAACATACTGAATTAAATTAAGACTGAGTCAGCAGACTCACCACAGAGTGCACATGCAAATTGTTCTAAATGTACACAGCATGTTTTCAAACACATTACTAGTAATTGCTCTAACAAGCCTGGGTGTCTTTGTGATTTTTCCTGTGTCAGTGCTCTGTAGGACAGAAAGGAGGAATAGATTTACCCATAGTCATGTAGACAATGTTCATCATCCAGCTCCAGATTGTTCCAGATAAGGTGTTGCTGGGCAACAGGGATACCTTTACAGACAGCCGAAGAAAGAACACAACCAAAGTTGACAAGAACCTGTTCATATTTCATAGATTCATTTTACTAATCTGACAGACAGGTAAGATAGGAATGCTACCAACAGAAGCATCCCTACACCACTAAAGATGATTCATGTCTGCCCCCTAAAGACAGAGCTATGCAACTGCTGAAAAGGGGCAAATCACAGGACAGATTAATTAATATAAAGAGTGCAAATAAAAAAAAAAAAAAATGCTAATGTGGTTTAGAGTTACCTCACCATAAAGTCAGTTTATTTTGCAGCTAAATACACAAGCTTGGTTGGACAACTATGTCAATATTGTCGAACATTATTGAAAACGAGAGCTAAATAATAAGACCCCAGTAGAGGGATGACAGCCTAATGAATAGAAAGACTCTCTACAGCTACTCCTTGAAATGAGGTTGAGCGTATGCGTAGTCAGGTAGCTCTCTGTGCCTACAATGAGTGAACTTGCTGACCCGGTATTGGAGGTGAGCCAGTGTTAATGAGTGAGCAGAGGTCCTTTCATTGCAGAATGGTATGCTCCATCACAAACGCACAGGCTTAGCTGACACACCTCCTCACACACAGGCCTTTCTGATCAAAACTGAAAACGGCAGTAGAAGGTAGATTTGAAAGGTCACCTTGATCTACAAAAAAAAGCAAGCTTAGAGGACAGCCAAGGTAAACAAAAATAATAATCAAGCTTGAATAAATAAGAACATAATTCATTTAAATGAATTCCAATAAAACCCACGTCACCCAGTCCTAATTACATTACTTCTAAAATGGTTTGGTGTTCTGAGTCAGCACAGCTCACTAGTTTCCTCCATTTTGTATAAATAAAAACATCATCAACAGCAATGCATGCAATGACATTACATTTTATGAACAACCACTGCTGGAGGACAAGGCACTGCCTGTAGTGCTTATTCACAAAATTTTATATTAGGACAAAGCATTACAGATAAAACACTTAATACACACACACACACACACACACACACCGGACAACACTGACAAGTTGTATAATGACAAAACGTCTAAGTGCTCCCAACATGAATGTAACGCGGGTTTCCGGCATCTATTTTTTTCCCCCCCACCAAGTTACATTATGCCCGGCAGCTCTGATCCAAGTCAACAGCAAGAACTTTGAGAAGAGACTGTAATTGTGCAAAACTGACTCCATAAAGTAGTTACATCCAGAGCATCGCAACTATGGAGACTGAATGGACCATACAAAAGACATTCCTGTAAACCTTATCAATCAGCAATATCTTGAATTATAAAATATGTACACTTAAACTATACAGCAGACTAAAACACACAAGCTACACATAAGCGAGCACTGTACCTTCCAGCCTCTGGATCTTTGCCTTGACTGAAATGATAGCCTCAAAGGGCAACACGCGCAGCTCAAAACAGGTGCCTGTAAGGGTCTCTATGAAGAGCTCCATAGTGTCATAGAAAGGGAGCTTATAGTGAAAAGCTCCCACACTGTCGTCATTAAAGAAGGGTGGCTCCTTCCTGTCGGTCATCTTAGCAGGTTGGGAGAGAGACTTCAGGGAGATCGTTAAATGGGGGGACTGGCCGAAGATGAGGGAGAGAGGGACAGGGACTGCTCACTGGCTTCACGACCATCACACATTATGCAGGATGACCACAGCTGTGAGAAAAAACAAAATTGCATGATTATCATAAATTTTCAGAAGGTTTGATTAATTTTATCATTCCCTGCCCCCGCAATCCAGTGTCTTAAATAAACTGTATGCGCTTCCTTTAAGTCAAAGATTTGTGATAGTCTAAGTTCTGAAATTTGACGTTTGCCAGTCGGCCAAGCATTTACATAGTATTCAAAAGCTAACCTCTAATAGTCAAGTAATTTACTGCACATGAATGCACCATTTTGAAAGACTTTTCAAATCATTCCATGCATTCAACAGCATTTCTGAGCAGAATTCTGAAAGGCAGACAAAAAAAATCTTTTTGGGCGGGGAAAATCTATTTAGGTGGGCCTCCCATTACCTATCTATCTACATAAATAAATAAGAACATAATTAGGTTTTGTAGGTAACACCAACAGGCTGGACTGTCTTGTGGTATATTTTAAAATAAAGAGCAACTGTTTTAGAACAAGGGTATGTATCAGTGGCAGCAGACACGTGTAACCCACTCATAAAACATTCAGTGGCCCTGGCCAAAATTCAAGAAGATCAGGTGTGTTACATAAGCCCATCAATGGTGTGAGGTGTCCTGCGCCTTACCACAGCCTTTGACAGATCAACTTAACTCACCAAAATCTAAACGTCAGAGGCAGGTTAAGCCAGTCAAGCTTTTATTTACTCGGGAAATGGAAGACAAGCTGAATTCCACATATGAATTAATGTTGTCTCATATAACCAGAGACAATTTTTATAACCCAGGAGACTTTGGTTTATGTCCTATCACCAAAGCAGAAACAATAGAACATGGACATCAGTTCTTCCCCTGGGAAACATTAACGTTACACATTTTCTGGTTTGGAATTGATGATTATTATGCGAGTACTGTTGTCCATACTCTGTACGCTGTACAGGTACTTATAACACTAACACTTTAAATTGAGACCTTCCACTTTACTGGGGCCTGACAGGAGCTCAAGAAACCACTCATGCACGCAAATGAGTTAAGCTATACAGCACGGAAGATGAACGGTTGGCTGGTTGTTGATTCTACACTGTTACAAGGCCTGAGGTGTACCCATTCAGAGGTTTCAGGGTTGTCATAACAGGCCATTCTCTAAAGCAAATGGTTTAGCAACGTTAGGTCGTCAAGTTACAGTCGGCCTTATGTGCAGATTGCTTCAAGCTACATTTGACCTTATGTAATTGAAACTGTGGTTGACAGCACCACAACAATATGAGCCACAGGTCAAGTCGGCAAAAAGAGACGGACTAGGTTAACGTTTGCTAGCTGCCTGACAACGGAGATGAATGGAGTTCGCAACCGTGCGAACAACACAAATCCAGCGGCTAGCGTTAGCAGAGAAAGGTCAAACAAGCGCTATTCCTATCTCCCAGTTTTCATAAACCACTTTAAAATATTGGTTAACCTTAGTATTTTATAGTTAAATCCTGCTTACCATTATCCTCTGCAACAAAACGGCAGTGAATCCCGTTTAGCCGACGCTGCTAGCAGTAGCTTTCGTTTCCATGTTAGCCAGTAACTCAAACAATGGCTACCTTTCTCCGCGGTTGGCTAGTAGGCGGCTAGGCTACATTCAAGGGCTTAAGGCTGGTCCCGTCCGGTGCAGCTGTCGAAGGAAACGTTTCGTTCAAAACTACGCAGCATTTCATCACGTTTAACTCTAAAAACTCCACGCGGAACGAAGTAGGCTGTCGACCGTTGTTGGTCGCCTTGGTCCCCTTGTTGGCCGCCTTGGTCCCCTTGTTGGCGACATCATCATACCTGTCAAAGGGCCGAACAACACCTGTGACTTCATGTGATTGATAGACAAAGGAGCCAATTGGCGTAACGGTGGTTAGGTGGGCGGGACAACAAATTGTCTCTGTTGTCAAAACCGGGGCTAAACATTTTCAACTGGCACCATAGACTGTATGTAAAAAGACTGGGACCCAGAAAAAACATAATCTTTCAACAGTTGATAGGCTATAGTCACATTTTTAACAATTTCTGTCAAATGTCTGCTATTTTGTAACCCAATACCAACAGAAACGTGCCAATCCTATATGTGAGACAAAAAGGCTTTGATGCCATGTTCATAATAATACTGACTCAACAAAATCACTGAACCTTAATCATCCAAAAATGAAACACAAATAAATTTAATAATCAGAAAGACCTTTCTTTGGATTGGGATTCATTCGCCACTGATCAATACTTAATTCTAGACAAACACCACACATGACAAGTGAACTGGAAATTGTAAGGGCAGAAAATTGTTTTCTTCCTGCACTTATCAGCTTTTATGCAAGTACTTATAAGAGTTCTATTTTTCTCTTCATGTTTTATATATTGTTTTAAATCTTTAACCTGTTCCATCTTTATTATTGTTCTTCTTATTCCAGTCTGTCCACACGTGTGGAGTTTAGGTCAGGGATGTGGGGTTGTTGATTGTTTTCCTCACTAGCTGTTCTTCTCCTTCCTTGACTGGGATCAGTCAAGGATCTTTTGTTCCCCACAACATAGATGCTCAGACTGTCTAATGATCATGCAATTGTTTGCTCTGGGCCAGACGTTAGTGACTGTCTTAGGAGACAGAACCTCTGGTCCAGCTGATTCTGTTGTAGTACTTCTCTGTTTATTCTCTGTAGTTAAATAAATTCTTCAAAGACAATGGTTAGTTGTAACTCAATTATTTGCTCAACCTCTCACCAGGAATACAATTTCCACCACAGAAATAATCACACTCATTTCAGATAGCATAAAATATGTTTCTTTTTAGTTATTAAAAATGAATATCCTTTTTAATCACAGGCAAAGTTAAGAAATTGATGAATTTCTTATTAATAAAAACATTGTCAAAATGCCTAAGACGTTAAAGTAAACACACTGATTTCTCATAATAATGATATGTGACAAACCCAAAGAAATGAAATCTCAACATGGAAAAGCCTAAGGATGAACATCTTCAAAACAAACAAACAATTTACTGTTAATTTCGGCAGGTTTTGAGGCAAAGCATATGGTATGCTTATAAAGTGCTATCATGTATAATAAAGATTACCAGTACATAATAACTGTTACATAATATGATCTGATGCCGAGATGATCTGAAAGTGCTGTCGGAAGATGACTGAAATCATTTTCATTTAAGTCTTTATCTGCCGAAAACAAGCCACAGTATTTATATGAATTCATATGAATAAATACTCTATCAACAGTGTATCCGATCTCCAATCTTTCAGCGATCCAAAATGACAAAAGAATGAATCCACAATTTCACAAATCTGGCTACTCAGAAACAACTGTTCATTTCCCACCAAGAGCATTTAATGGATCATCGAATATGTTGCTTGAATCCGCTGCTGTACTGGTCTCCTGAGACAGTGGCGTTTTCTTTGCTTTATGGGGAGCCTTGGTGACTGGTTTTACTGTGCTTGGTGAGAAGATGTCATCTTTAAAGAACAGAGATGGACAAAATATTTGGTTAAATGCACCGATTTAAAAAAAAAACGGTAGACCACAGGACAGACAAGATCCTAAGTGTGCATTAAAAAAAACATGAATGCCTGCATGCTTTTTGTTGTTGCTTACCCATGTCATCATCAAATATTGATTTGGTCTCTCCCTTTGTCTTGGACTTCTGTTTTGGCTTTAAAGTGTCCGTCAGGTCAGCAAAAATATCTATGTTGTCATCAAACAAGCTGGCATCAATGGTCTTCTCTTTGTGCTTCTTGTGAACTTTAGGCACAGTGGCTACTTCATCCTAAGAACACAGAAAGTCAGCCGATAAGGAAAGAAATGAACACGCAGAAAACCTCGACAGTATTCCCATCAATGTAAAATTTTAAAAAAGAAAAAGAAAAAAAAAAAAGAAGTACCTGGAAGATGTCCTGCTTTGAAAAACTACTGCTGATTTCTTTACTACTTGTGGATGTGGGAGTGGAGCTGTTGCTCACTCCAAAGATGTCCTCATCATCATCATCTTCTTCCAAGAAGGACGAAGCCTTGGTTTTCTTAGTAGCTGACCTTGGCTTGACCTTTTGGAAAAGGTCATCAGTGTTGTCATCAAAAATGGACGGGAGTGTGCTTTTGTCTTTGTCTTTCTTCAATCCTGCATTGCTACCGGCCTGAGGTTGTGTAGTCTTGGTAGTTTGTCGGGTGGAGGGTGTGTTAGTGACTGAGGTGGCCCCAAACAGACTGTCAGAGCCAAAAAGGTCATCCTGATCAGAAGGGGGTAGCACCTTGGTACTGCTGCTGTCTTTACTAGAGTCTTTCTTTCCAGCGCTTGTGGATACTGGCAGAGTCAGTACAAAGGGTTTGGGGGAGGTTTCAGAGAGAGAAGATTGAGAAGGTAAGGAGGCGATCAAGGCTGTGGGCGCAGCGGAGTTAGGTAGTGTCGGACTGGCAGACGCCTGGCTGGACTTGTCTGCTGGAGGTAAGGCTAAACCAGACAGACTTGGGTTTGGCCCAGGAACACGTCCACCCAAGGTCTTTTCATTATTGTCCATAGATCTTTGGGCTGCTTGCTGCCTCGCTGCTCTGGACTGGGGTCTCCGCTGTACAGAACCTTTGGCACGGCTCTGCATGGCAGAAGATTTGCACTCATAATATCACATCAGAAATCCAAGCAAATGAAAAGCAACTCAAAGACTTCAAGGTAGCAGACATAACACTCCAGGAATCAAAAACCCACCTTGTGTGCGCTCTGCAGTGTTGTAACCTGGACTGGGGAGTCAAAGCTCACTCCTCCCTCCTTGTTTGTCTGGGCTCCTACAGGAGTTGTGGCAGGGCTGGGGCTCTGGCTGGAACTGGACACACCAGAGGAGGAACTAAGACCCATGCCAGGGAGTACATTTACAGCGCCTGGCATACTGGGCACAGCACCAGGGAGCAACGCAGCGGGGTTGATCATCAGGTTGGCCTGAATATGATAAGATCAGATGCACCAGTATAATAATTTATCCAGGTGAAAATGACACTGTGATACCTGAGCACTGACCAAAGACTATTTAGAACAGAAGGAAGTTAAAACCATACAAGGGTTAATTTCTATGCCTCAACACTACACATTTGCAGTTTCTCAGAGGACTTCCAAGCAGCAGATCATTCAAAGGAAAGCCAGAACTGCGGATGTAAATGAGGCAAATGCAATATGCAGGAACACCTTCTTAAACTGACAGAAAGAGCGAGCAAAATCAAATCAAAACAGAATTATGTCCACTTTGGTAGCCATGCTGTTGTATCATAGCCAAGCTATTACAGTTGGAACATGAAAATGCACAGATAGTAGAAGCCTTAAAAGAGAAAACATATAAGTGGGAATCGAAAGTTCTATCCCCAGGAGGAATCAAAGTGAAATGTCAGGATTTGATTCAATAAAAACAAAACTATTACTTGAAGTTTCCCAATCTTTGATGAGGAATCTTTAGGTTTTACAGGGCTTGGTGCAGGTTTCTGTGTGGTGAGATTACAGCAGGTTCAGAAATGAATCCAATGAAGGCATTTCTTGTGTTCATCGTGAAACATCTTTCAACAGGCAATAAATAACAACATATCAAAAATGATAAAGAAACTAAAACAAGTAAAAATAAACCCTAAATCAAAACGGCATGGCTACACAGGCATGTGTGTTGGTGGCTCAAAGAAGCAACAAGTGCATGATATTATTGGAACTGCAGTATTCGCTTTCAGTAGACTCACCTGAATCTCTGATACAGATTCTGGACTTGCTAGTGGTGCTCTGTCATTAGGTTTACTGGGTTTTTCTGCTACTTTCTGAGAATGAAAATGAAAAAGGTTTGAAAGTTCTCCTAATACTAGTACTAATGTACAAATATATGATGCTACGGAAGCAAGAATTCAACTGAATTGCAATCACAAAAAAAATAAATAAATAGGAATCAAATTGCTACCGGAGGAGGAGCTTTTGGCTTGATGGAGCTAAAGAGGTCATCCTCATCCTCATCTGCAAACAGACTTTGTGCTGCTGACTTTGCTGAGCTGGGCTTGGAGCTCTGAAAGGTAAACATAGTCATGTATCCTTACCATGTAGTGAAATACATCTGTATGTGGAGAAAAAAGAAAGATACAAACAGATAAGACTATATACTGACTGCAGCTTTTCCTGAGGTGGCAAAGAGGTCAACATCTGGGTCATTGTCCTTCTGCTGCATCTGACTGAACAGCAGCTCCTCATCCTGGAACACACCTGTGCTCTTTGCTTGTGGCCGCTCCTCTGTAGGCTGTAAAGACTTAAATACACACATTTTAATACCTGTATAGCAAGAGAAACAGTATACCACTGCAACTAAATCAATTCTTCACACTATGTGTAGGTTCACTGTAAATCACACAAACCTTTAGTGTGTTTCTTGCTGTGGGTTTACTGGGCGCGAATATGGGATCATTCCAATCGGATTCATCCTCCTCCTCCTCATCAAATAGGCTAACAGCGTTTGTTTTGACTTTCTCTTCCCTCCTCTCCTCCTTCTTCTTAACATTTGGTGGCGGGCTCTCCTTAGAGAGGAAGCCATCATCATTGTCAACTTCATCCAACAGGCTCTTTGCCTTCTTGCTGGCAAGAGCGTTGATGCTTCCGAAAAGACCGATGGCTCCAGCAGACTTCTTTTTACTTTCACTGCTCTCTGGTGATGGCGATGACGTGAGCGGCTCAGGGTTCTTTGCCACTGGCTTCTCCTGCTCTGAAGGCTTGTCCTCTCCTGCCGTCCTAGAAACCTCAACCTCTTCGGATTTTTCTATCGGGGAGGACGACTGAGAGGCCAAAGCAGGTGTCTGATGAATACAGGTATTAAATGAATTTAATATCAGTGTGGGAGATAAAGCAAATAGTGTAATAAATGAACCATTACAGAATCTAATTTTAAATACCACTGTGTAACCAACTTGATTTTTTTTATTGGCGTTTTCTGTCTAATTGATCCTAATGGTCTTCTAGGGCCAGACAAAATTCTCAGACCCTATGAGCTTATGAAACTGATCGTTTTTAATGACAAAAAATAAGTTAGTGCACTCACTTTAGCAGCTGGAGCGGCAGCGTTTGTGGTGACAGCTTGTTTGATGCCAAAAAGGGATCCCTTTTCTTCATCATCATCGCCCTCGTCTTCAAACAAGAGAGCAACTCTCTGAGGCTTCTTCTGACTATATGAAGAAACAAGAGGATAGATTCCTGGGATTACAAAGTTTGAAAATTAATGTACTTTATTCTGTGGAGCATAATGAGAGTGAATTTAATACAATTGTGAGTAGATGTTTGTTTTCTAATGTATTGAAAGAAAAAAAAAAAAATACCTCGACTCTTTTGTTGGCGCAAACAGGTCATCATCATCATCATCAGCGTCAAAGAGGCTGCTTTTTTGAGACGTTTTGGCACTGGGGAGATTGGAGGGGGCACTAGCACTGGACTTCATCCCACCTGTCCTAACCTCTGGTTTTACAGCACTACTTTTAGAACTCATCCACTGGTCCTGTCATTCAAATATCCCCGGAAAAATAATGTATCATTATGGAACATACGCCATTAAATATGAGTGTGCAGCAGTCAAATATTACTTTTTGTACCTCATCGTCACTGAAGAGGGAGCTGGACACAGCCTTACTGGGTTGCGGTGTGGAGGCTTTAGCCTGTTTAGGTTTAGGTTTAGATTTAGCTGCAGATGCAAACAGATCCTGCAAGGTGAACAACAAGATTGATGTTATACACTCAAAGCAAAAACAAACCTAACCTTATTCAGTTTTGAGTGTGCAAAATATTAGTTAATTATTTTCACCTCTTCTTCCTCGTCATCAAATAATGACAAAGGCGCTTTGCTGGTTTTGGCCTGGCTTGTAGGTTCAGGCTTAGACTGGCTTTTGGGGATGGTTGGAAATCCCTATGGAAGGTAAAATACAGTATAATTAAAAAGCCTTATTATGGTTAACACTTTTTTATTCCAGCAGTGATGTTTGAGAGCCTTACAGGTGTGTCTTCATCATCAGAGAAGAGGCCTTTGGCCTGGGCTTTCTGAGTCACCTTCCCGGGATCTGGAGCAGGCCCATTCTGAAATGCCAAACATGAAGATGACAATTTAATATTAATAGCTTTCTAAATTGTTCCATTTTGAAAGTATGAGGTCTTAGTCTAGAAAGAAAATATTGGTACAGGGCAAAGAGAACTGAACTGTGCCAAGAGGGGTAAAGGCCAGCAGTGTTCTCCAAAATAAATCGAATTTGGCCTTTCCTCAGATTGCACTCGAAAATGGCACACAGCAAATCAATACACTGACTGCAACTAGGTCTGTTCATTTAATGGCATCCGTGCCCGATAAATGAGCTTGTGAGTCATTGTAGGAGCAGGCACGACCTCAAAATAAAAAGTTAAGATCAAGTTACACTGAAACTGCAATAACTTTGTAGATAAAACTTGAAAATACAATGTGGCTGACAACCAGTTGATGGTGTATCAGGTGTATTCACAGCCCCTGCTGGCAGCTAAACATAACAATGAATCGTCAACATAGGAACTCATCTATAGACCACAAAAAAAAAAAAAAACAACAACAACAACAAAAAAAAACACTCTGTAGATACACCAAACTAAATATGTCATTTGTACAACTATTAATACTGTGAGCCATCATCTTCAAACGCAGGTTTCTGTTGATGTTTACCTTTTTCTCAGGATATTTAACCTGCTCCTCCACTCCCTCCTTCTTGCTCTGCGCTGGAGTTGGCACACTGTACTTTGCACTGAATATGTCACCATCCTCATCGTCATCATCGAAAAGGTCAATAGCTTTCTTGGGTTTGGGTTTCTCCTGTCCAGCTGAAAAAAAGAAGGAAAAAAAAAAAACAACAACCAACACACAGTGGTTTGAGGGTAAGCAGCATCCCACCCAAACTTGGACAGTAGCACTGTGCCAGGTTCTCACACGCTTACCAGATTCAGACTTATTCAGGCTTTTACCACTGAAGAAGTCATCGTCCTCGTCCTCATCATCAAATAGCCCACCTCCACCTACACCAGCTCCTGCAGGAACCTGTTTGGAGGCAGCATTGGTCTTAGGAGCTGAAGTTCTATTCTCCTTGCTCTCCACCGATTCAGAGTCATTCCCCGAGCTGAACAGGCTGTTATCTGTGGCGAGAAAGTGATTTGGTTGGGTTGAGTATGATGAAGCAGACAAGGACGTGATACTAGCTGTCTTACAAATAAATGCTACTACCTGGGAATATTGAAATGGCACCCGGTGGAATCTTCTTTCCAGGTTTGTCAGATTCTTGGACGGGAAAGAAAAGTTATATAGCAATCTGCTAGTTCAGTTTTTCCCTATATGTTTGTACCCATCTTATGTCTAGAAAGTCTTAGGTCATACCTGCAGTTTGAGCTGTGCTTTTCATTCCTTCATTCTGCACCTTTTTCTCTTGGGACACAGTAGGTTTTGGTGCCTCAGAGAAAAGATCACCCTGAATGCATAACACAATAAAGCACATATCAAATGCTGGCTGTAGTCCAGAGTTTATGTAATGTGAAAGTAGCGTGAATAAGCGAGCGAGAGCTCTGAAAATCATTTAGTTTCATATACCTCATCATCATCGTCAAAGAGGCCTCTCCCTCCACTGAAGAGGCCACCTTTTCCTCCGAACGGCGAGAAGTCATCGTCATCCATCTTTGGTGGCTTAAACATGTCATCACTGTCCTCTTCAGCTACTGTAACAATGAACATAAACAGCATTGAGCAGCATACTGTGAACAATACTTCTGCTTTGGAAATAACTAATGCAAAATTCAACAAAGAATTGCACTGATGATGAATGAAAGTCCTACCCTGTGGCTTTGCAGGCTTTGGTTCTTTCCTGCCTTTACTTTTCTTCTTAGATGTCAATGCTTCCAAGATGGTAGAAAAAAACAAAATCCATGAGCATGCACATGCAACTATGGCACCCATTACTTGAATCTCAAATGCAAACTTTGATGACGACTTCTTGTTAAATTAAATATGAAGAGTGGGCGGAACAAAAAATGTCATGTAAATTCAAGTGAGATGACAGACTACCAGTTGGTTGATAATGACAGTGACTCACATGCGCGATCTCCTTCTGGTTTGTTGACTGGTTCACCTTTAATTCGGGCCGCCAGCTCATCGGCAAAAGACGATGGGCCTGTGTTCTGAACGTGACATAAAAAAACCCCAGAGGAGTGTAAAGTCAAGATTCCAAAAGAAATTGCATATAATCCACTCACAAAGACGTCTCTCAACTACTCAAGCAAAGTTATAATAGGCATACCTTTGAGTCGTCGTCATCATCCCTGTCTGATTCTCCAAATATGTCAGAATCCTCCTCCTCCTCCTCTTCATCATCCTCATAACTCAACATGGATGATTTCTGGCCAAGTGTGGGAGGAGAATCCAACATGAATAGAGTTACTCAGTTTAAATGCCAGTTGCAAATGCCATGATAAAATCTTTGACGCGTTTGGCAGCCAGCTTTACCTTCTTAATGTTATTGTGACCTTCGTCCTCCTCCTGATCAAAGTCCTCATCTGAATGCTGCCAAATAAATACAATAAAGTGTTTATTTTCCTGTGCAAGATGCAAAATTAAAAACGTTAAAAAATACTGTGAAAGGAAAGAAAAATAGATCTTACAACTTGTTCTTTGCCATCTTCGCTCTCAATGACACTGTCTCGGTCACTGTCACTGTCAACGGACATTTCTGGAAAAGGAACCATAGATGTGAGGGAAAATAAACATTATACTGTACAGGTGCCTGAAGAAGCTGCCATGAGTTTATTACCGTCACTTGAGAGGTCACCAAGTCCAACATCATCTTGTTCCATGAAGGCCTGCGAACCAATGAGATATGGAAGTGGCCTGTCCACATATAGATCCTAAAAGACAAGGGAAAAAACAGACACACACGCTGAAGTACACAGAGATGCTTTATCACATGCATTTCTGCAGTAATTGCAGTAATCCTAAATTGCTACTTCAACATAAAGAGCACACCTTAGGCTCCAGGATGGCTTCCACTTTGTCTGCGACCTCTTCGTCCTCTGAGTCAGAGTTTCCTGCTTTGATGTCCAGATGCTCAAAGGCCGACTCCAGAACTCTCAGACCGTAGTTTACAGCTTCCTGCATCTTAGGGATCAGCTCGGCCTCTTTCTGCTCTCGAGTCTTCTCCTTATAGGAAAACATAAATGGTTTTCACAGAGCAATAAAAGACTTGTGGATATTGTGCCGACTGCTGTGGCCATATTAGCCTTGAAATAATAATACTGAAAAGCATTATTCAGTATTGTACTGGTTGCTCAGTGGTGTATTCTATGACAGCAATTGTGAGGAGCAGAATGGACAAATTCTTTATACCTGCTCAGGCTGCTTCTCCAAAACATCAGCCTTGGGAATAGCCTCTTCTACCTCTTCATCATACACTCTCTGTAACAGGACACAAAGTAAAAAGACTTTTTTTCTAAGCAGATAGATTACATCATGTAAAAGTTCACCACAAGACATCCTGCAACATTTTTAGTTCCAAAAGTACACAAACACATGGACTTAATTGTCACAGTTACAGTATAAAAAGCAAAATTGAATTATATAATAAAATACATTACATTTTCTATAAACTGCGTATTGGAAAGCATGAGAAAGTCATTAAAGACAGAGTGTAAGCAGCTGTCTGTGGCCTTGGTGTCACGGATCAGACTGTCCAACTGCTTTTCAATCTCATGTGTCTTTGACAGCATTCTCTGGGAGAAGTCTTGGAGGAACAGGAAGAGCTGTGAAGAAAAAAACCCCAACCCAAAACGGTTATGAAGACAGCACGACAGTTGCAAAGTTACTTCCATTTCACCAAAGCAGAAGACATTTCACAATCCAGTCAACTACTCAGATTTAAAGCATTTATCTGCCTATCTGAGAAAATATGAATTACTGTTTTTTTGGCCTATTCCAAAGCTGGGGAAAATGTTTTTGACTTACCCCCGAGTCAGCTGCCAAGGACCAGTTGGCACTGTTCTGCCGCATCTCTTCAAGAGTCCAGGGTCTTTCCCAAATTTGAGCATCTTTCTCTAAATGTTCACTTCTGCTTGGGCCATTTGCTATACCCTCCGGCAACCCGCTCATCTGCAATTAGATCACTTGTTGTTATTAATGTAATGAATAATTCAGAAGTGCTTTAAAGAAACTGCCTTAAAAAGCTTTTCCTTTTATGTCATTAACACATCATAAAAGGAAAAGCCTACCTAAAAGCAAAGTAATCTGCTTGTGTAATAATGTAGCCCACATATCTACTTTAATTTGCGTATCTGAACCAGTCTTTGCTTGAGGTAAAAAGCTGAGAGAGTGTTAGAATGTAAAAGCTTGTTGGAGAAAAACAACATTTAGGCAACTTTATATGGACACAACAAGATGTCTTCTGCAAATGTGTAATGTTATTGCCAAAGCCCAAACCATAAACTGCAGTGATGATATCACCTATAAACAAGTCTAGAACTACTCCACAGACAATGAAGTTTGAGACACCTCCTAGGACACCTTCAAAAATATAGAAAACACTGCAAACAGCTAAATATCAAATCAATCAAAAAAGAGACCTACATTAAAACATTCAAAATCTCGATTTGTATATTCTATAGTACAGTGGTTGTCACAGAAAGTAAGGTATGTGACAGGACTTTGACATTCCTCCACATACTCCCTGCTATCACCCAGAAAGGCCAAATAAATCAAACATGATGCCTCCCAACAAATGAACAACCAGTGTGAATTGCTGCCCCCTGGTCGAAGGTTTAAAAGTCCACTCTGTGAAATAAACCAGGGAGGAAGATAATTCATCCCAATGTTTTTGTTTGTGTGATGTGTTCATTTTTTGTCTGCGAAGTCAAAATGTCAATAACGTTAACTTAAACGAAGTGCAAAAGTAACCTTAACTGATGACACAAACAATTCAAAGTGTTGATCCTCTTATTGCCTGCTCAAAGGGAGAGAGAGTGTGTGTGTGTGTGTGTGTGTGTGTGTGTGTGTGTGTGTGTGGATAATGACTTTGGTTTCCTGAATCACTAAAATACAAGTTACATTCCGTTTTTGTTTTACGTTAGTTTTACTGCTAACGTTGCACTTGCAGCAACGTTGCAACAAGCTAGCTTTGGCGATACAACAACGTTACAAATGTGCGGAAGAAAACGTGTTGTGCCCATATAAAGTTGACTAAGAGTTATTTCATCCCATTAAGTTCGCTTTCACATTCAAATAGACTTGCTTCTGAAAGATAAAGCGGGTACTGTTTGGCTAGTAAATAGCTTAACTTAGCTAGCCGACAACAACGTTAGCTATAGCTGTTCCAAGCAACACATAGTCATTTATCCGCCTACATTTCAGCGCTGTCTTGCTTACCTTGAATACCTCTGGTTAACTGCTGCCCACGACGGTCAACCGTGGTGAGAAACGACGTAAAAAATAAGATCGATTATGCTAAATTTGGCCTTTCCCTCATTGGTCTTCTGACAGGTCAGCCATGTTCTGTCTGCAGACAGTCACCTGACTATCGTTGCTCAGCAACCCATTGAAAGTGGGGCGGAGTGGATCTGAGGCTAAGCTAGTTTTCGGTCGGTGATTACCTTGCGTTAACCCGTCTCTGGTCTCACATATATGTTCCTCCATTTTAAATCAACAGGTTTAACACAGAGTTCTTCATTTGTAGGACAAAGTAAACCTGTTGTTTATATCCAGAGTTATGGTAGTATGTCCACTAACTTATTCACTGCCTCAGAACCATTTCATATTTAGCGTTGATTAGTTCAGACTGTCTTGAAAATAAATCTACTTTTTCTTCTCACTAAAGATTGTCTCTGCACTCACCACCTTGCATCAGAAATTGTATTTATAACACACACACACCTACTGAAACCAAAATGACTCTGATTACAGTTAATCAAGTTACATAAGAGTGCTGCTCAAATGTAGTAAATGCCTGCAGAGCAAGAACACTGGAAATGGGAACTGAGACTTTCCTCTCAGGAGGAAATGCAAAAGATCAGAATATGACATCCAAATGACAGCCCCAATTAATTTTTTCTTTTCAGTAGACGTTATTGAATAAATATGGAACCGGGGGAAACCAAAAAGACAGACGTTGATTGACACATTGATACAAATCTTATTTTACCATTTACATTTCCTTAGATCATTAATTTCTAGTCTCACCATCAATCGAAGGCATTTTTGAAACCAACCAAAACCCATAACATATGGTGATGTGAATTTAGGGTTCAGTGTTTATGACAAATGATATGGGTTGTAGCAGACTGTATATAAAAAGGGTTGTAGCTAAAAATGATAAATGTTGGTTAACGCACCGATTTCACACTATTTGAAAGGTAACAGTTCATAGTTTCTTGACACTACCTTTCCTGTGAGAATCTCAATAGCTACATGGTGAAAAATCTAATCCAGTTTGAATTAAAATTTTATGTTGCTGAAAAATAAGAATGTCTTTCAATGCTTAACCAAAGGACCACAGTACATAATCATCACTTTAAAATCTGTCAGGACAAACATGAGTATTTGGCTTCAAGCATTTGTTTGCAAGTTGTGGATGCAACATAAATATGTTAGTTGCTTAATTATTGTATATTGGTTAGATTATAATGAATATATTAATATTGCTAATACTGATGGGAGCATCTTACCCAAGATAGTTCACAAAGCCAACAAAGAATTTTGTTAACATGTAAATAGTTTATTTTCTGTATTTGGCAACACTTATAAAAGTTTAGCATTAAAAAAATAGTTTCCCAAAAGGGAAATTTAACAAAGTACACACATTCAACACCACAGTGAAATTATAACAATGAATCATAAAACAAGATAACATGTAAGAGGAAATTATTTACAGTCAATTACAGTAGGACAAGCCAGGTGTAAACAATGACATTAATTATGGCTGATTCATGGTCCTGGTATTGTGCATGGATTCTGTCACAACTTCAGACACTTAAATAGAACACAGCCATCTTATTTCTATTAATTACACCTGTACTTTTCCTACTGTCTGCTGCAAAAGAGCTATTGCAGTCTTACAGTAACTACTGTAAACAATAAAGGTTGAGAAACCTAATCACAAACTGATGTATCTAAACCAAATAACTTATAATGAACATGCTGCATAGTCACGTAGATTCTAAACATGGTAAAGCATGATGTCACTGCAAAGGCAGTTTCAAGTCCCAGACCTTGCCAATGCTGAAAAACAGATGCACCAGTGGGGATCAAGGGAAACATGAATCAGGTTAGGTTTTATTCATAAATATACAATTAACATTTGTATTAACAATGAAACTTTGTGGTTATGGATAGATTGTGCAAATTTAGCTTAACATTAAGGTGATAGCTTTGAAAGCCCTGAAAACAAATAAAAATCTCTATGACACTAAATCACATGCTGCTACCGGGTCAAGGTGAGGAGTTTCTCTCATCTCTACCAGATTCTCAGTCTCCCTCTCAGCATGGTCTATGTTCCCAGCCTCTATTTGCTCATCCATCACTCTAGACTCCTTGTGCACTCCGGGCTCCATCTCTGGCATCTCTCTCACTCCATGTACTGATTCTGTCACTTCCTCCCTTTCACTTGTGCCATTCATCTTATCCTCTCCCTCTATTTCTTCTGGCTTGATGTCGTCCCCTGTCTTGTTTGTGTCATCCATCTTATCGTCTCCATCCATTTCTTCTGGCTGCAAGTCATCCCCCGTCTTGTTTGTGTCATCCATCTTATTGTCTCCATCCATTTCTTCTGGCTGCAAGTCATCCCCTGTCTCGTTTGTGTCAGCCACTGTATCGTCTCCCTCTTCCTTCTCCTCCTCCTCAGGGTTCATTGCCACCTCAGTATCTTCAGTTCCACTGGTTTCCTCTTCTTCATCCTCCTTCATCGCGTGGCCCTCTCCACCATCACTGTAGTATATCTCCTGCTGCTCTTGGCTGCTTGTCAATATATCCACAGCTGAAGGCCGCCAATAATCATACAACTTACCCTACAGATGGAAAATACAGAATTGTGAATCAGAATCGTAAAATCTTTTGACTTTATTGGAGGACTCTTGAACTGGGCCTATTTTAACTAACTACTAAATTTTAAAATGCGTAAATAAAGTATTCATTTAAGAGTGTGTGACTACTGTACATGGAGAGGCCTGGTCCTCTGAAGGAGCATCTGCCACTTGGTGTAGATCCTGGCCACCAGGTCCTTCACCTGGCGGGAGAGGAGGAAGGTACAAGTTGATTAACAGATTAACCGAGCGGACCCTAGTTTTAATGACTGACTCACATGACTGCATCTTGAAATCAAGTCAGCAATGATTTATTAACGTCATCACTACTGGCATGGATTATTAATCACTTTTACATATTCACATTAGTAAATAAAAGTCTGGCCCTGACAGGATGAATAGGCACTCAAAATATGCAACCGTACAGTGCATGTGATCTGTTAAAACTTTGTGGGACACTTAAATAGAACAAAGCCATTTTTAATGTTATTACTCACACCTATACTTTTCCTACCATCTGTTCCAAAATCTGCTAAGCTATTAATCATTACATTATTTTCAGGTGTGCAATGTTCCTATGACTTTGTTTTTATCAGATTTTTTATTGAATCTGTTATAACTTATTGAGGCTCCGTTTGGTTGTTTTGTCTGGTAAATAAAAAACAGGCTGGCAAAGTCGGTCAAGGTGGCCAGTGAGATGATCATGGTGCAACAAGCCCAGCTTCAGGAAATTTACAGCAATGTAGTCTCAACTGATTTTAACTGCCCAAATAACCCACTTTGATGCGACTTCCTTCCTTCTGGCCCCATTTCAGGATGTTTAAACCAAATGGCGCAATAGACGCTCTATTATCCCTGTAGCCATTATGTGGCAAAATCTGGTAATACAGTTAGGATAACAACAAAGTTAACAACAAAGTTGAAGTTCAAACTTGATAACATTCAGAAACCGCAAACCTCTGTCAAGGCTGCACAACCTTTCAAAATACACACTGATGCACACAAATACCTGAAGTTCACACTCACCTTGCTCCGGTAAAGACATTTCTCACTCTCTCTGATGTCACACTTTACATGAGTTTCCAACGCAGAGCACAGAAACAGCAGTTGCTCCTGAGAAGCAGAAGGAAAAGGCAAGGCAACATTAACACACCTCTCAGAAGCAAAAGGTCATCATCATACTCAGATATTTAAAAAACATGATAAATTAGCTGATCAGACAACAATGGGAAAGAATTTAATTCATACCTTTTGTTGAGCTGGGAAAAACTGAAAATTGGAAGCTTCGTTTGCCAAGGTCAGAAGGCTATAGCAGAGGTAGTAGGACTGAGAAACACGATAAACATTCAGTTAAAATTCAGTGAATATGAGATTATTTTATTTACACAAAATAAAACTAGACATACAAAACAAGACAAGAAAACTCTAAAATGTCTTTTAGATTGGAACATTTAGAAGTTCAAGGCGTAAACCACATGACCACCTGTTGGTCTAGAGAGGCCATGTCCTCCACATCTTTCTCACTCCTGCTGGAGCTCAGCATGCCTCTGAGAAGGGTGGATGGTTGCATACGGGGCAGGTACAGCCTCAGTTCAGAGAGCTAAGCATTGCAGAGAACAAGGAAGGGAGAACTATAGATTAATGAAGGCATTCATTTGAATGAATCTATTAAAATAGTATCTAAAGTAAATAAAAGGAACTGTTTTAGTGTATAACCTAAACAAACAACAACAAATTACTTGAATCTCTTTTTCTGTAGGTCTGTAAGTGCAGTTTCCGTCCAACAGTTTAGAGATCATGGACAGGCTCAGATGTCGACGCAGTTGCCTATATGAACAAAAGTAAATACTTTTAAATGTGTTCTTTCAAAAGAAAAAAACAATACAATGAAATCATATGTAAAAGAAAAAGCACTCATTGCATGAGGGAAATGGAGACAAGCCGACCTGAGATAGAATATAAAAAACAGAAAGGACCTACTTTCCACGTGTGTTGTCAGGCAGCAGTTGAACTAGCAGACACATGTTGTGGTGGTCATCTGTCAGATCAGTGAGGGCCAGACAGATTCTGGGCAGCTGGAAACATTTTAGATAAATAATTAAGTTGACAAAAGTGAGCAGTTTTCACAAACATTTTGGCCAATGGACTTCCATGACTTTTTCCATGAAGAACGTTGTGTGATTTCTGTGTATGCATGAAAATTATGATAAAAAATTATCAGCAATAATTCCCAAGTCCATTTGAATACAGTAGGAAATGGTAATAATTCAACCTCATCTTATCAACTGTTAGTGGAAGTGTATTGTGATGATATGATCATATACATTTACACTTTGAGATTATTATCTAGTTGTTGGTTTTGAGCTTCATTCATCTGTTATTCTTTGAGTTGCGTCTGTGTACGTAATTTTTCTAAATTAAAAAGGCAGATCACAACACTGTAAGGAAAGATGAAATAGCTTTGTATTTCAAAACATACACATCTTCTTTATACGGCTAACAACAGTTTCACTGGGGTGTTGATAAGCTACTGTACGGGGATCTCATTCAGTAATGTTAAATTTCCAGTTGAAGCAAGACAAATAAATGTCTGTATGCACGGATGAGAGAGAGCGAGATGGAGAGAACTATAACTGAAGCCCAAAAGCAAGAAATAATGACTAAAACAGTTCGATAACTGTCTGCTAAAGCACAGGCTTCTCAAACTCGATAAATCCAGTCATTCCTTTCACTGCGCTCTCTCTCCCGTTCCACAATTCACATTTTGCTTGGTCTTTACAAACTTATGGGATATATTGTTCATACATGGCTTGCGACCTAGATTGGACGTTACTCCAGGCAAAACAACGTCTGCTCTGAAACTATGAGATTGAAAATATACAAACGTCATGTTTAAAACTGATATTTAGTGAACCTTATTAAACTTTATTTTAGTGACTTTACCAATGCCATTGGATTCCATGTTTTTCAAAACGCAATTGTCAAATTTCCCCAGTTCTTTCATGACCGTATGGCTCAAACTTGTCATCTAATGGTAATTTATGATTCTCATTATTCCTCTGCAACTTGAAAATAAAGGAATCCGAGGCATGCGTGAACTGACCATAGCGTCCCAGTCCCTGATGTTCTTGACAATTCTGTACTGCAGTGGGTACAGTTCCACACTGGACTGGAGGATGAGCCGTGTGTCCAGGCCCAACCTGCCCATCACAGTTAGCAGCAGCAGCAGTTCATCGTCGCTGTACGCCCGTGGACAGAGGCCCATACAGTAAGAGAGGTACTGCACGTGAAAAAAACGGGAGAAACAACAGAGTAATGAGTGATCTGAATGGTGAAGATGTGCTCAACAAGCTGTTCCTATCAGACATCTGTTTCCTATTGCGTCGCACCTTCAAGATGTTGCTGCAGTTGTGTTCAGGGAAAGTGCTCTGTTCCTTGTTACTGGAAGGACTCTCACTTTTGATACAGATGTCCTCCCTAAACAAACACACAAATTAATTACAAATGAAATTAAAGAGACATCAAATAAACAATGTTCAGATAACAACTTTGAGGAAAAAAGGAAATGAGTGCGTAATCCTATACACAGTTACTTACAGCAAATCTCCTTCTGTGAATGGAGGCTGCAGATTTTCAAAAGGGAAGAGAGTAACAAACGCAACTCCCATATTGATCAGGACCAGTGCCAAATCGGCCAAACTGGGCACCCACACTTTAAACTGCTGGCTCCCATGTTTCACTGAGGAAGCATACACACGAAAAAAAACATATTAACATGTCTAAAAATATTAAGTAAAAAATACCAAACACCTGAGGCTGGGAAACAAAGACACTGACCTATCTGATAAGCAGCAGTACAGGCGATGTCACAGAGGGCCTGTAGTATCTTTTCAGATACCAGCCTCTCATTATGGACTGACATCATCTGGTAAGATCAACAAAGAATTACTGCCAAAGCTCAGACATTTGGACAAAAATCACTACTGACATGCAACAGGTGTGTGAGGGGCCTACCTTGAATAGGAAACGGGTAACCTGAGCTGGACAGGGCGAGCAAGAGTCGTAAGCTTCCTGAAACAATCCAATATTTACATGCAATCTCAGTTGAGCGGGGCTGGACCTGACAGAGGGCAGGGCAACATAAGTGTAGTGAGAAGGATTAGATGGATTAATGAATTATTTAGCCAAACTTACAGTCTAATGGTCAACATTGGCTGCAATATTCAACACATCCCACAGTATAAAGAGCTGGATGGACCCAAGAACACGCTGAAGATTCATAATTTTTAGCATTACTAGTGGTGAGGCTAAATAATGTCATTTAAATCAAAAGGGTGCATCCCACGTTGTGAGCATGAATGTGCTCAGCAAAATTCACTGCAAGAGGACAGCTGTAGGAGTGTCCAAAACAGAAAAAATTAACCTCTGGGAAGTGTGAACGTGAGTCTGCTAACTCACCAGAGAAGTGTTTTCTGTGCTGTCCCCTGTGGATTGACCATGCATTGTCTGAGCTGCAGCGTATCGTGGTTGAAGATCCGGCCAAATTTCTCCAGGTTGAACACTACTTCTCCAGGAGGCACTTCCCGGATTGCATTGGACATCAACGAGTAGCGCTGTAGGAATTCCCTAAAAAAAAACAATAACAATACTGATTACAGTTACTGACTGTGCAAGGACTGCGTCCCAGCGACAAAGTATAATGTGTCCGTGTGCTTCTGCATGCCGTACTGTTGTTCGGTGGAGATGCCCTCCTCCCGGTTCTCCTCAGCCTCCTCATATTCAGCTATTCTCAACAGGTCCTCTTTACATGCAGTTAGAAGCTGTGTCTCAATCTCTTTAGCTCTGGTGGATAAAAATAATGAGGAGAAAGTTAACTCCTCTCATGTGCAGCTACTGTAGCTTAAAATTTAAAAGGTGGCATTTTCAGAATAATATACTTTTTAATGGTGTTTATTTCCTTTAGCATCTGATCAAGGTTGTTCTTGTAGATGCCTGACTTTGTGGTGGATGGCAATGGCAGCTGTGGGAAACACAACCGACAACATTTAAGAGACAGAGACAAGTTGAGTTTTACCGATCCTTTTGCTCAGAAGAGTTGGTTATCATGCATTCTAAACGTTTATGTACAATAAAGACATGTGGAGCTTACAGTTTTTGACTGGGAGCTGCGATGTCCAGGTGTACTTGGCTCTGAGAAGGCGTCCTTCTCCGGTGTATCTGTAGGCTTGGTAACACGCTCCATCATCTCCTGCAAGGAAATCAGCTGCTCATCCTCACTGCTATGGGAGCTCTGGGTTAGATCCATGTCTAATGCAAAACTCAGGTCTAGGTCCAGCTCAACATCTATAGGATCCTCTTCGTTCACCGGCTTTCTACTCCCTTCACTTGCCTCCCTCTCCAGCAGTGGAGGCTGAGAACAATGAGATGTAGACGTTTGTTCAGAGGCAGTGTAGTGAGTATCAAACGCGCATGGTCTCACATTGTTTGAGAGAAGAGATGTGCGTTTCTCGTCAGATTTGACACTCTCATCTCTAAGTTGCCTGCCTGAAGAGGTGATGGGACTGTTTTTGAGTTCACTGCCTTTAGAGCAAATGGATCTTATGTTTTCAAGTTTTACCCTCTGTAAAGTTACAGTTGGCAAGGATACTTGTT